TTGCTGAGTACATTTCAGAGTTTCTTGGGTTTTGGTTAATGGGCCTCGATGAAAGTGGCGAAGGAGATCGGTTTGTACGAGCCGCCATGAGAGAGAGATACAGAGAGAGAGTTTCTTCACCGGCAGCAGCAAGAACAGTAAGAATGGAGATGGAAGAGAACTTGAAAAATTGAAATTGACTGAGAATTGATTTTGATGGAGATTGTGATTTCTTTTGATTTTCGCGAGATGCTGTTAACGGCTAGTTTGGAAATATAAACCCTTTTGAGGGTTTTGGTGGAATTTAAATATTTGATTTGATTGTTATCGACCGTTGATGTTGGGCTAAAGTGAAGAAGCTCACAGCCGTTGGATTAGATTGGATTATCATTAGGCCTTATTCTTCTCATATATGGCATGTAGTTAGAGATGGCCAAGGGCTGAACCGGCCCGTGAACCGGTCCCGGCCCGGCCCGAACTGGCCCTGAACCGGCTTTCTAAGGGTCGTTCGTTGAACCGGACCCGTAGGGCCGCGGTTCAATTCTGAGCCATAATTTTTTTTTTTTTGACCCGCCGGTCCGGGCCGGGCCTAGCCGGACGGCGAGCCACGACATTATTTTCTTTTTTTTTTAAGGGTCGTCCCGGCCCATGACTCGTCGGGCCGGTGAACCGGTGGTTCAGGCCGATTCTATAGATTTTTTTGGGCCGGTCACGGGCCATGGTGTTGAGGCCCGTCGACCCTGCGGGCCGGGCCGGGTCGTGGCCCGACACCTGGCCATGTCTACATGTAGTTGGTGGTCTTAATATATTTATTTTCTTCACTAATGTTGGATTAATTTTCCTTTTGTTGTTTTGTTATGTTTTAAGTACTGTACATTACATTGTTTATTGGCACTATCCAAATTATATTATCAAGATAGAATTTGATAAAGGACACAAAGATTTGGGACCACCCTTGGATACTAGCAATCCCTTCTCACAGACCCTGCAAGATCAATGCAACAACAAGTCACAGCTTCACTTGGGTTTCAAATCTACTGTTGCCTAACTCAGATGCATGGGATGAATCCCTTCTCAAACAAATGTTCACTGCAACTGAGTATGAAGTAATCATGCAAATTTTTTCTATTGACAGAACCCGAAAGTACATGCCAGTTTGGAGTTTTAACAAAAAAAAGCAACTTCTCTGTGGCATCATCCTGTGAAGCTCTTTTACAAAGCAAACTCTTGGGTCTCGACTTCCCTGAATCAAGCAACCAACCATCTTGGATCACCAAGGTTAGGAACTTCAGTTGGAAGTTAAAAATCAAGAGGAAGATCAAACACTTCATCGCAAAGTGCTTCTCTGCTATCCTTCCATCTTAGAGAAATCTTTGCAAAAGAGGGATATAGATAGATTGATAACATCTGCAAATCATGTGGAGAAAAGGAGAAGACCACAGAACACCTGCTCTTCAACTGCCCAAGAGCTAGCCAAAAACATCTAGAAGCATGCACCTGTACAGTGGACTAGCTTACAACATGATGTGCACTGCTTCAAATCTTGGTAGACAGAAGTGTGCCTAATGCATAACCATCCAATTAACAACCTACATCTTATGGTGGTTATGGAAATCTCAGAATTTGTGGGTCTTGAAAAATCAATGGCAACCAGAGATTGCAATTATTGAAGCTGCATCCTCAGAATGGCTTGAATTTTCTTATTTTTTAGCTGCTGAGATTTGTTTGGCTAGCTAGGTGTTCTCACGGTTGCTAGGCTGGTATTTGTTATTTCTAATGGTATATCCCAGGGCACCAGTATCCTATACTGCCCAATGAAACTATATTAGTCTCTCATTCCTCCCCTAGACCAACTTGTTTGGGTCTCCTCCTCTTTGTGATTGTTATTTTTTAGTGGTGTTATGTCAGTAGCAGTTATCTGTTAGGATATTAATTTGTACTGTTCAAACTCTGTTCCTTTCTTGATTTGGGTTTAATGATATTTTTCGTTTCAAAAAAAAAAAGAAAAAAAAATGTGCTTGGAATTATTGAAATCCAATAAAAATTTTTCCTTCGAGTTGCTAGTAAAAATTTTTATCATTTTAATATTTGTTGAAATTTTATTAGAATATATTGTCACTGCAATTGTTGATGTAATATACACTATTTTGAAATATGTTACCGTTACAATATGATATATATTTATAGCCTGATTTTTTATTGATTAATTATTATAGCTATTCTCTCAAGTTATTTTTTCATTTCTTCACAACACATAATATAATAATAGAACTTAAATCAAGAAGTTAACCAAAGTAGAAGAACGTTACTTATATGTTAAATATTTGTCAATAAATCATTAATAACTAAGATTTACGCATTATGAAGGGTTGCAACTCTTTTTTTTTTCGCCCACATAAAATTTCATATAAACTAAAAAATACATACTACAAAAGATTGCAATTAAATTGTGGTTCTTGACTTTCATGAGCATGTAGTAATTACTTATCTGTCCAATGAAACAGTCATATCTGAAATTAAATGCCCCCAATTTAAAATTAAAATGTGGAAAACGGTCCCGTTATGGAATCATCCCGTCGACAATTATCACTGTTGAATACAAATTTTATGAGTAAAAAAGCAGAAGAAGAACAAAAATGAAAACATACCCAAACACATTTATTTCCTAATAAAAAACACAAAATTTCAATTCATAAATAATAATAACAGACTCTCTTCGATCCACTCTACCAAATCAATTCATCACTCCCTCTTTCAATTTCCTAAATTGAATAAAGAAAATTAAAAAATAAACATAAAAAGTTACCCCAAATATAATAATATTAGCTAGTGAGCTACTAGCAAAACCCACCAAATTCAAGTACCCAAAAAA